GTCTGGGACAACTCCGAAGGGTGTAACCTGCAGTTGGAATGAGAAGAGAGAGGAACAGAACACCTGTGGAACAATGGCCGGGCATTAAGACTGAGTCATAAATGTACTGCCAATGTTTCCTTCTATATGGATTTTTCGTTGCAGTATACTTAGTCTTCAAGCTATTTAGAGTTTATGCATGGAGTGACCCAGTTTTATTCTTTACTCGTGGCCTTCCAGTCTTCCCAGCACCACTTGTTAAAGAGACTCCTTTCCTCCTTGTATCAGGAACTAAGTGTTGTATAAATGTGGGCTTATTTCTGGGCTTATGGTGTCATTCATGTGTCTATCTTCCCGCCGACTGCATGTTGTTTTAATTACAGTTTAAGTGTAAAGTCAGGTAGAGAGATGTCCTGGTTTCTCTTCTTTTTCCTCAGGATGGCGTTTGCTATCCAAGGCCTTATATTCCACATCAATTTTGTATTTTCTATACAATTTCTTTAAAGAACATCATTTATTTTCATGGGGATTACAATTAGTCATTTTGGAACAATGTTCACTTTGACTATATTGATTTTCCCCAATCACTTTCCATCTCCCTATGTCTTACTATGATTTATATCCTTTGATGACATCTTGAGTTTTCTTTATGTAATGAAACAGTGGTTGGTTAATTCTGAGGTACCTTATTCTTTGTGAAAAAACTGTGAATAGAATTATTTTCTTCATTTCATTTTCTTCATATTCACTGTGTATATAGTTGCAATATTGTTTTAGAATGTTAACTTTGTGATCTGCCACTTTGCTGTACTCATTCATTGTTTCCACAAACTTTTTGGTGGAGTATTTAGGGCTTCTGTATATATAATTATATTATATGCAAATAATGGTAGTTTCAACTTTTCTTTTCTAATCTGGATTCCTTTTATTTCCTGTTGTCAGACTGCTCTAACAACAAAGAGTTAAAACCTCTAAGGCTAAATAAAACAGAAGTGGTAACAATGGGCATCCTCATCTTGTTCTTGATCATAAATACTTTCAGTCTTCCACCATGACATACGATATTGACTGCAGGTGTGTGATATATGACCTTTATTATGTTGAGATAGGTCCTCTCTATTTTCACATTAAGAGTTTTTAATCACAAATGGGTACTGAATTTTGTCAAATACTTTATTTATATATATATATCGATACTGTAACTTGTTCCAAAAATGAGTATTTTTTAAAAATCAAACTGCTCATATTACTTCTAATCCTAAGTATTCTCAATACCAGTACTGAAAATCATCTCAAATGCACTAAGACAGAACAAAAGAAAACATAAAGCTACGCGCAGCACTCCGAGAGCGCTCATCTCGCTGTTTCTCTCCAGAATGCAGAGAATGTCACTGTCCTCCTGCGATCTAAGTGCCCAGCTGCCTATTCCTAGACATGCGGCCTTGTTTCCATCCAACAGAATACGGTGCCATCACCTCTTCCTTTTCTGCAGGTTTTAAAGCCCCTCTACTGTGGCAGACAGGTAGCTTGTCTCACTTTGTTCAAGTGATTGAAACTGACACACTACCTGTAGAAAACACAAGCTGGCTTTACATAACAGACACCAGACAGGTAATATCATGCAACTCAGTGATCTCTTCAGGAAGGGTGGGGGCCTTACATAACAGATATGGGACTTATGAGTCAAATAATTCTCCTCAGGAAGGCTAGTGATGGTTTTAAGAGCTGTGAATGTTTAATACAAAGTACTTTAAAGGTAACTCATGTTGACACTGTATCAGAATGTATTTTTACCCATCAGTCAAAAAAGCAATCTCTACATTTTAAATACACACACAGAGCTTACCTGTGAAATACAGCTTACAATGTGAAATACAGATTGGGCATACAAATTTAGAGAGAAAAGTATATTTTAAATGTAAGTGCAGGCTAGGGCTAGGGGTTTACTCTCAGCACTATCACCACGATGGCCTGAGTTCAATCCTTGGCCAGGGAGGCTGACCCACATGGTGCGGCAGACCTCTCCTGTCCCACCCACTGCTCCCCTCAGCAGTGTATTCCACTTGATCTGCCTGTTCTGCTCTCTATTCTGTCTCTGGTGAATCCTCTTACCCCATCTCCACACCTCTGGCCAACACACCAGTTCTTCTATGCAAAAGTAAACAAAATCTTGTAAAAAAAAATTATAAGCAAACTAGTTATCCATATTATTGCTCTTATTCTTTGTACATACATTTCAACTCATCAACAAACATGGAAGCACTCCATCACAAAAAAAAAAAAAAAAAAAAAACCAAGGAGGGAATAAGTAACACTCCCTGGGTCTTTGCCCTCTGCTGTAAAGCACCATATAGGCTAGGTAGACAAGAACCTGTGGTAACCCCCTAGCCCCCACACAAACCATACACTATACTCACGCAAGTATTTTTAAATGTATTGAAATGGAAAGGAAAAAAAGCAGTAAGTTCTCACAGTTCTTATTTTTTAAAACTATTATTTTTCTGGGCCCTCCCTGGTGGCGCAACAGGTTAAAGCCCAGCACTATGAAGCTGTTTGTGCCACTGCAGCACGAGTTTGATCCCCAGCCAAGGAGCTGACTCACATAGCACAGCAGACTTCTCCTGACCTGCCCACTGCTGCCCTCAGCAGTGCATTTCAGTATATCTGCCTGTTCTGCTCCTCACTCTGTCTTTTGTGGAGTCTCTCACCTCCCCGCTCCCCACACTTCTGGCCTGTACCCCAGTTCTTGTGCATAAATTTATAAATCTTTTTTTTTTAAAAGATTTATTTATTTATTTATTCATATACAACTGGGTACAGGCCAGAGATGCGGAGGGTGAGAGGATTCACCAGAGACAGGGTGGGGAGCAGAACAGGCAGCCCGACGAAGTACATTGCTGAGGGGAGCAGCGGGCGGCTCAGGAGAGGTCTGCCACACCATGTGGATCTCCTCCGGGGCAGGTGGGGATCGGACTCATGTGGAAGTGGCTTAAGCTTCTCAGTGCAGCGCTTTTACCTGCAGCACCACCAGGGAGGGCCCTATAAATCTTTTTTTTTTTTTTAAATAATCACTAAAAGTTAGATAAATTAAACTAACACAGTTTAAAAAACATTAGTGGGCTAAAATGAAGGAAGAGAAACTCCCAGGGGAAAAATAGAGTGAAAAGAGAAGAGAACAATGAACTGTGAGATAAAACCAGAGAAATAAATCTTTGCCCAAATGTAACTTGAGTGTCAGTGCGGCCCTGACTACCACATTACAGACTTCAACTGTGTCTTCTATGCCTTCCCCATGCTCTTTTTCTTCATAGAATATACCAACACCTGACATTCCACGTACCTTAATTATGTTTACCTTCCTCAATTAAAATGTAAGCTCCATGGGGTCAAAGATATTTTCTCTTTATAAGTGTCTATTCAAAATCTAAAACAGAGCATGCTACATTACACATACTCAATAAACTGTGTGAGCTGAGGTAAATAAACGATGAAATAAGATATAGAGGCAAATACCAGGATGAATAAACTGCTACTATAATGTTTTAACAGACTTTAAGACAAATATATGTATTTTTTTAGGAGCACAGTCTATGACAAAAGGTTCAAGTCAATACTATAAGTTGTAGTCACCTAACAAAATAACCTGAAAAAATATAACTTCCAAATGGATAGAACTAAGGACGAAACTGAAAATCTACCATCACAACAGCAAATCTGAAGGCACCAAGCAAACACCTGCCAACACATCAGCCTAGATCACGCATTCTCAATGGGAACAATTAAGAGGCTGAAAATTGGTTTTGTAGGTGTATGAAATCTTAACTATTACAATGACCGGTGCCCTCCAAAGGGCCACAGTACATAAGTAGACTTATATTTGTAGCTTAAAATTTCATGGGGAGCAAGCAGGGGTAGGGAGGAGAAGAGGGAGATGAATAAGGAAAAATTCCAAAAATAGTTCTTAGGGGAGAGAATGAAAAAAAGACTGGGAAGCAAAGACCAAGGCTAATCTCAAAAACATAAGATTGAATGAAAAAAGCAAGTTAGAGAAGAACACAAACAGTAAAATACTATTTAATTAAAGTTCAGAACATACAAAATAATACATTATCTAAGGGTGTGTGTGTGTGTGTGTGTGTGTGTGTGAAAACTAGTAAGAAAAAAATTCAGAACAGAAGTTATCCTGTGAACTAGGCAGGACCATACTGAAATCTAGGAGCATATTCTTGTTCTTGGATGGAGATATATAGTGTACATTTTATTATCCTCAGCCCTCATTGAAATATTTATTAGTATGAAGCCTTCATAGAAACTGTTTTAAAATATCACATCAGGCCCTCCCTAGTGGCGCAGTGGGTTAAAGCACTGCACTAAGAAGCTTAAGCCACTTCCGCATGAGTTTGATCCCTGCCTGCCCCGAGGAGATCCACATGGCGCAGCAGACCTCTCCTGACCAGCCCGCTGCTCCCCTCAGCAGTGTACTTCCTAGATCTGCCTGTTCTGCTCCCCACTCTGTCCCTGGTGAATCCTCTCACTCTCTGCATCTCTAGCCTGTACCTCAATTCTGTATGAATAAATAAAAAAATCTTTAAAAAAAAATCACATCAATTTACTCTAAGTATAACCTTAGCAATTTAACTTAAAGCTGCATGGACAGTTTTCCATTAGTTGTCGTTCAATACTGATATCAAACCTATACTTTTAAAAACACAACCATGAGAGCCTAAATTTTTTACTTATTTATCATGAATGCTTTTTATGAATTGTAATATTTTTATTGAGCTAGCATTAGTTTACTACACTATAAGTGATTTAGGACGTATAGGTCCATACCTCTTCAGATGACTGCTACCACACCACACTCACCACCAAAGCACCATTAATCCTTCACCACCGATCACTGGCCCCCTCCCTGCTTTGCTTCCCACCCACCACCTCCCCCCTGCAGCAGCCTCAATTCCATAGTCATATTTTGCTTAATTTTTGAAAGAAAATACTTTTTAGAAAATCCCAGTTCATACCCAGCCACCTTGCTCAATGATGTACTCTGCCGCACAGTCCTCCAGATACGTCACACCAAACTGCAGCAATGGGCGCAAAGGCTCTTGACCACGTCTGGTTAACTCCAAAAGCATTTGTCGTAGCAAAACCAGAGGCACCAAAATCTTCAATGCAAAGATGAGAGAGTAAAAAACAAACTGAAATTCTTGTGATTCATTTTCTGCTCAATTACTAGAAAATGATACTTAGAGGCATCATTATAGAATTCCATTTTTTATTTTATTTCTAGTGGCTCCCCCACTAGAATTTTTGCTAATGTTGCATTGGGTGGTAGAAATAAATATTACATGACAAAAAAATGGGTTAGGGAAACAACGGATGTATAAGGAAGTCCACTGAAACATTATTTATAATAATGAAAGAATGAGAACAGTCCAGCAGAGTCTGGTTAAATAAATTCTGACAACATCACACAGTTTGAAGAGAGTCAGATTGTTCAAATGCCCAGACATCAAGATTCACTTTGAAGAAAGCAAGGTAATGTAGTGTTGTACAATACTATTATCAAAAAATAAGTAAAAAGCATGACATATATGTTGTATAGTCTTCTAGTATACCTGGAAAAATATTCAAAGAAACTACTAATAGTAGTGGTCTGATAACAGGAAAACTAAACAGCTGGCAACAAGGGTGAGAAAACACCGCCAGGGTCAGGGCTTTGTGGACACTGTGTATTTTGTGCAGTGTTTTTATTACCTATTTGAAAATTAGGCCTTTTAAAAGCCTGTAAGAGTCATTAAGTTTATGACATAACTAACTAGAGTCATTTACCTCCTTAAAAAAATAACAGCATACTGAAAAAGGTAAGAATGACCATCTGGGTACAATTTCTTTTGTATAAAACATCAGAAGGTCACCCCACGAGTGGAAAAGGAATGCTGAAGGGCATGAACCCAGCCCGAGGCCTTGTTACTGAGTTGCCAAGGCAATAACTGAGATATTTCAAAATATTTCTGCAGAGAACAAACAGGAACGATAATGACTACTTGTTCATAATAATATTCTCTAGTTTTTAAGCAGCCCTGCAGGAATCTATACCAGAGTCTGAAAGAAATGCAATAAATATGTATCCTCATTTTTTTATATTCTAAAAAGAGCTCTAGCCCAAAAGATATTAAAAACTCCTTCTGAACACTAATGAAAGGGTGGAGGGCTTTAAGGAATAAGAAATGAGTCTTTTTTTCACAGTTAGGAAATCTGTCATACTATTAAAAAAAAGTTTCTCCAACCCAAACTTTCACCTAGTCCCACGATTTTGTCTTAGCGGGAATAGTAAGTGAAAGTTTGCGAATCTACTAATGTGCAACATTTTAACATTACTCAAGATTAGGCTTTATAGTCCCTTGGGTAAATGAGTTTTGCAAACATTTTGTATTTGCTATATAAAATAAGTTTCATTTGTTCCAAAGTTACCCCTTTCACGTGTCAAAAAGTAGATGCCTGAGTTTTACTAGAGGTAACTCTGCAATCCTCTTACTGCTGCCTTTTAGTCTTTTATCTTATTCCTTCTCAACCACTATATTTTTAGACTGAAATCTACTTATGTGGCAATTTCTTCATGACTTTAATCATTAAGTTATTCTTTCTGAATCTGCTCCAGTAACCAGAGAGCAGAAATTAAATGTTACAGAGCTAACGTTTTCTATTTTATTGATAATAGTCTTGTTGGTAGTACATGTTCTGTTCAGTAATTCACCTCCTCCCTACCCCCCACCCCATTCCTCGCACATTAAATGACTACTACTAGCTTAAACTGTTTCGCTTGTTTGACATATTATCTTCACGGAATTATAATTACTTCTAGTCCCACGAAGACTGCCTTTAAATAGCATACGCTCCAATTTTACAATCACCTGCAAAACTTTATGAGTTATATCTACGACAGACCTCTAATACCTTGGAAATACTTTTGTACTTCACCTTTCATTTTGCTTTATTATTAACTGACAAAACAAAACTAGATCCCCAAATATCCATTCCTGGAAGGTTCCGCTGTTCCGATCTCTAGAACTAAAAAGTAACCAAGTAATCCTAATCTTTGAATTCTTTCCTGTGAACCATTCTGTCTGGAGAAGAGCCACCCCGGATGCATATAAATCCCTTCTCCTTCAGCAAGTCCTGCAGTGGACAGGTTCCTTTGGCATCAACAGAGGACTAGTTCCAGCCCTGGCTTGGCATTTGCGCCATGTGGCAGCTTCTTTCAGTAGGTTACACTTACTTAAACCATGTTGTTCTTTTAGTAATGACTATATATGAACTTGCCTGGTATAAAAATGAAGTATACTAATTTATAGCTCTCAGGGTCCCTTTCAGTAGAATTAATATTTGTAATAATGAATTACATATTATAGCACTCTGTATACTATTTAACTCTTCTATGCCTTCTGTACCTTCTATGCCTTCTATGCCTTCTGTCACATCCCACAAAATTTAATTCAATGATTAGGTTTGACCTATTGGCTTCAAATTAAAATTTCAGACACAACAGGACACTATATATCATTTACGATTATACAACAGAAAATAGAGAACATCACCAATCTAAACCTGAATCTGATAAGGTTTCTAGATCTACCTACCAAGGATAAGAGATACAGATACTGACACACATGTTAAATGACATCTCAATAATGATGCAGTCAATACAATCTAGAAGGCAGGAAAGTTTAATGAACAAGTAACTCATAAGTAAATGAGAGAATTATATTTCAATTAAAAAAAAAGAGAGGTTCAAGATATCAATTAAATGCAATCTCAACTAATCAAATGAGTTGATTCAAAAAAATCACCTTATAAAAAAAATAAAAATCACTTTATCTCACCTTGTGAGATAACTGGAGAAACCTGATTACTGAATGATGTGACAATATTAGATTACTGTTAATATTTTGATATGTGATACTGGTATTAACAGTTGGTTTCTTAAAAAAGGAATTCATTACTCTTAAATACATACTAACACATTTATGAATGAAATAAGGATATAAGGTCTAGGGTTTAGTAAAAATAATCCAGTAGGAAAGATGTGGGGGGAACAGATGAAACAAGACCAGCCACACACCAGTAACTGTCGAATCTGAAAGACGTATATACATGGAGTTTGTTACGCTATTCTGTTCTGTGTATGCTAGACAGTCTAGTAACAAATATTTCAAAAGATTAGTAATTTAACATGCCACTTAAATTTAAGTGAGGCAGGCCCTCCCTGGTGGCGCAGCGGGTTAAAGCACAGTACTGAGAATCTGAAGCCACTTCCGCATGAGTTCGATTCCCGCCTGCAGCCTGCACCGAAGGAGACCACATGGCGAGACAGACCTCTCCTGACCCGCCCGCTGCTCCCCTCAGCAGTGTACTTCGTAGATCTGCCTGTTCTGCTCCCCACTCTGTCTCTGGTGAAGCCTCTCACCGCCCCTGAGCCTCTGGCCTGTACCCCAGTTCTGTATGCACAAATAAATAAATAAATCTTTAAAAAAAAATAATAATAATAATTTCCTTTAAAAAAAAAAAATTTAAGTGAGGCAAAATTTTCATTTATCTTTGCTCATTTTCTAACATGAGTTTACCATCCTATGGACATCAAGTTCCCTATTAACTTTATAGTTCGTTTTTAATCTGTAACAGTCACTTTCTTATTTTCCTGTAAGCAGTTAAGTGCATGCGTAAAAATAAAACCCATGAGGAAGAGACAACCACCTGTAATCCTATGGTAACTATACATATTAGATAATGTTTTACACATATTTCAATTATTTCTAGACATACTATATAGTCTACATTTATGTGCATTCCTTTAAAAGATCATACTATTAATATAAGTTTATAACCAACTTTTTTACTCCACTTCTTTTGATATATTTATATCCACAGTGTTTTGAAAATCTCTTTATAGGGACAGTAAAAATAAACATTTAAATATTTTAAAATTTAAAAATATTTAAATAAAGATGAATTGACTAATATCCAGCTCATCTTTAAGCTGGCAGGCTTTGTGAACTTTTTTTTTCTCTTTTCATGGATGAATATTTCACTTAACCTTCATTTACCTGCCAGTCAGCTATATTCACATAACTTCTTGCCAGTCAGCTATATTCACATAACAACTTCTTATCAGAATTTTGCAAACCTTCACGTGAAATGTAAGACATAGGCTAGTTGCTTCATACTAGTCAAACTGATTTTGACTGGCAGTGAGGGGTGGCAGAGCAAGTAATAGTCTACTTGACATATCTCATCTATATGAGGTACTCAAGCCACAGCCTTTAAGATCAACAGTTGGTCCAGAGGAGGAACTAAAATGAAGGAGGGAATGGAACAAAAAGAAGAGTGAAGAGAGAGGGAATACTGAAGTTTACCCAGATTTTTGTAGGATAACCCTACAATCGGGGGAGGAGGTACACAAGGGCTGATACTAACAATCACTAGACAGCAAGGCAAATGTAAAAAGGAGAAGGCTAGTAATGTTATGTATCTAGATATCTGTTAGTGGTATACTGGAAATATCACCAATTCTGTTTTACTTATAAAACTTTTAAGTACCCATATGATTTGGTTTTTTTATTCCAAGAAAGCAAATGAAACAGTAAGATATTTTAACAAAGTATTTATAACTAAATAATACAGTAAAATTCTGTAATAGTGACAGGGGAACAAGGTTCCATATGCTAAAGCTAACATAACAGCAGCTGTTTACTAAATACTAACTATGGTGCCAGGCATATATGTATGTGTATGTGTCTGTATGTATAGCCATATACATATACATATATATATATATACATATATATAACACATATTATGTCATTAATTCTAGTAAGATTATCATCTCCATTTCACATAGTAAAAAACTAAGATTTAAAGAGTTTAATTAAATGGTCAAAGGACACACACTAGTTCTTGGCAAAGCTGGACTTTCAAACAAGTCTAATTACAAAGCCTATAATGCTTATTATGCTATAATACCTCCCACGTCTACATTAATGAGAGTAAAGCAACATATATCATAGGTACAGAAGAGCACATGGACTAACACATCAAAAGCAATTCTGAATAAAGGTGGCTATTTAAAAAATAATTCTACTAAACTTTTTCATCCCTAGCATTACATCACTAACGACCATACTTTTTCACTTTTCCTCATAATTGAGTCGAGTTATCCTACACTGAATCCTTAGACTCTGTCTTTTCCAGGTGGTAAGTAGATAATAACATAATGGATAAGGGTTTGGCACAATGGAAAAGAACTGAAGCTAGAATCATAAGATCTTAGCTTTGTTTGTTTGTTACAATATTTACTAGTTAAGAAGTCCTAGGCAAGTCTCAATTAGAGAATTGTTTTTTCTAATTATTCATTGAATCTAACTATATAAATAACAAATGTCAATAAAATCTATTCTGCCTTCTGCAAAGACTAGCTGTGATAATCAAATGAGATGTGACATGAGATACTTCACAAGCTATGTAATACAAATGCTATTATTTAAGAGAATCAGAGGAAGGCCCAAATGAAGCCCCCCAAGACTTATTATTAACAAAACACCATCTGGAGATAAAAGTCATTGTCTAACACAGAAAAATGAAGAAATGATGGGGAGTTGGGGACAAAATTGAACTTAAGCATTTAATAATAAACTCTAGTAGTTTTTTCTTATATGATGCTAGAAATTCATATTGCCTTTATAATTAATATACCAAAAATCTTGTAAAATAAAAAATAGGTTGATTAATACCTTATTCCAGCCGCTGGCATGAACTGTGGTCTCCAGAACACATTCCCGATATGCCTGATATGTCACTGGCCTGCAGAGATTTTTTTAAAAGTCTATGTCACAAAGAAGGAAAATTCTAAATTTCCAAATGAATAAATAAATATACAGACATAACTCTGCTGTTGAACTTTTTGCTAAAATATCAAAGATTACTCAACATATCATCTTGATGCGATGTGACATTTAATATCTGATATGTATTTTTCTTCAAACATTCTCTAGATGATGAGATTTATGCTACCAAGCTGGAAAAGCAGTTACTAACATAGCAAAATAATAATAAATGATAATGTCTTTAATTGCTTGAAACTTATCCAAGATTTCTATATTGCAAATAAACATACACTTGGGTTATTAATATAGGATCAAATAAAATGCAAAATTATTTTATTAATAAAATTAAAAGTACAATTTAAACCTTTTTAAAAGTCTAAAATATTTAAAGACATTATCACTGGAAGACTCTTCAAATTGAAGAGCTATAAAGAATTGGAATAAGCCTGGTCAATAAATGGAGCTCTATTTTTAACTTGTAGTCTTATGCAATAAAATCCTAGAGGGGAGAGATAAGCCTTTCTGATTATTTCCATGTAAGTTTTAGTCTTGATACGGAAACAAAAACAAATCACTGAGTGATAAAAACACTCACTGATTTATTGCAGGACTCAAAATACTTAATATTCTAGGCCTTGGTTTCACATAAATTAACAACAATAGCAACATCAAAACAACACTTGGTACCAAGTAACAGATGAAGGATTCAGTAGCTTAAATAATAGATATAATAACACTTAACCCTCATGCTTTTTGGGGAAAGTGTAAACATATTTGTAAAAAAGAGGGATGAGCCTTGTTTTTATGGGATTTTAAAATTCATTCCAAAGGCATTTTTTGTTCTGATCACCATGGTCTGCGATTTCTTTGTTCTGTGAATATTTAAGATTAAAGATTTCATATTGGAAATTGGTAGCCTACTGTTCGGCTTTATATTTCTATACTTATATTTTATCTTAAATATCATTTGTATACAGGGAAACCAAAGCTCATAGGAGCTACCAGTCTGTCCCCAAGGCTGGTGAGCAGCAACAGAAGGATTTGCACTCAGCTGGATCTGACTCGAATTCCACACTGTCCTATTTGCTGTTAGGCTCTAGACACGTGCCACGCTAATGTATAGATGCCACACGTGGTAATGAGCAATTAAAATGCAGTCACTAGTGATGAGGTGAACGTGTCAATGTACGTGCTGGCTTTCACAAACAAAATATTTAGCAACAAACAAAGTAGACTATCTCATTAGTAATATTTTTACATTGAGTTTATGTTAAAACTATATTTCGAACATATTGGTAAATATATCATTACATTTAAAATTTTTATTTTTTATGTAGCTGTTAGAAAATTTTAAATTACATATATGTGACTAGCATTATAACTACTGGATAGTGCAGGTCTAGATATTTCAGAAAATAATTCTCATCACAAATTTTCATTCTCTTATATAAGTCAATATAAAGTCAGCACTACAGTGATACTAAAAGAGATAAGACACCAAGGATTACCTTTTGAATAAGACGTTATGCATTTTCCTGATATCATATTTCCATTAAAGTAGTTTTGGATTTACAATTCTTGGGCTAAATACTTAAGTAGTTGGAAAACTTGAACTTCAGCAAAACTATAGAGTCTACCTACCTATGTACTCCCTGAAGTTTTATTTGCGTATACCAGTCCCTTTACTTCCTTTCCTGAACTGTCTGATGCAGCTGTGGGTCACAGTAGTCCTTACTGGGAGTTTGTCTATCAGGCTAAAGTGCTTTAGCGTCCTTCAGAATGAAACATGATTTGAAACATTACATGTACACACATAATATGCACATAAGCGATCCAGCAGATTAAACATTCAAAAGAAATCTAATACACAGAAAAGTAGCTTAATAACCAGCACTACCTAATGAGCTATTTGAACAGAATAAAGAAGGAAAAAGGGGTAGAAGGGGAAGGGAGTCTTTGAAACTGCTGATCCTCACCTACACGAAGAGTTGATGATTGATTTCCACTTTAACAAAATCACTGAGTGGGAAGTATTTTCTACCTAAATAAATAATGCATCAACCTGTATGATACTTGTAGTTCATCAGCATTAGTTATATTCAGGCATTAGTAACAGAGCTTAACAATTTTCAATTTCGATTTCTAAAAAAAGGTACTTATAAGATGACTGACTTTGAAATACAACAGAGGTACATTTGGAAAAATAACTCATCAGTATTCAGGTTTGCAGGGGGAAAAATAAACATTTGCCCAAGACAGCAATTTTTAAAAAATATAATTTACTTTGCAGTGAAAAGATAACAATTTTTCCTATAAATATGAAAAGAATTCCAAAAAAAATACTACTACAAATTACCATTGTTCAGAGGCTCTATAATATCCCAGTAAAGTAAAAATTAACAGAGAAATTGAAACTTGGAGTGAAATGGTCTGTTCAAAGCTAACGGCTTATACCAAAGTTGAAAACAGAAGTTTTGCCTCACACATCTCAGTTATTTTATTCCACGTCCGTCACACAGAACTACTCTGGATTTTCTGGACAGACCGTGTGGTGTCACACTCCACATCCTCAGAGGGACTAAACCATTTGCATGGTATCCTTCCTCTCTTCCACCTGGTTATGGTATAGATCAAGGAATAAACACTCCTTAGTACAGAGCTCATCTGTCATTTGTGTGATGAAATCATCCTTGACAGTCTTCATTTTTCGTCAATCTTTTTTCATTTTTATTAGAAATAATCGATATACATCACTGTATAAATTTAAGGCATACAGCATGATAGTTTGATTTACATACTTCATCCTGTTTTAGGTAACTGTCACTCTTCACTGAAACAAGTATCTTTTTAAATTCATACTAACTCCTGAAAAGAACATTAAAAATAAATAAATTCATACTAATTCCTAATGGTTCTCAGCAAAAAATTTAGGGAAAATTAATTTTTATGCTTTTTAATAACTGACTTGGTTCTGTTTTAATATAATTTATACATTTTAAATAATTTATAATCTATATAATTTCTTGTTTTTAGCTTAACAGTCAGGGCCTTAGCTAGAAGAAAAGTTCTCACTCTAAGAGTGTGGAAGCAGACCCACGGGCAACCCCAAAGTTCAACAACATTTCTGATACTTAAAAAACAGATAAAATGTAAATGCCACAATACAATGCATAAAACCTGGCCACTACATTTATATTGGCACTGGAGGAAATGGTGGTAAGAACAGTCAGGACACGTGAAACAGCTGTAGTACAAGTCAGTGAAAGCAGTTGTTGAAACCTGACTACTCAAGAAGTCAATACAATGATCAAATTCATGCTGGAACAGTTAAATCACTGCTTTGGACGTGATTTTGATTTGTCAATCAAAAATTGTCACTGGAAACACGAACAGGGAAGCTTTGGGAAAGCAAAAGAAAAAAATGAAGAAAAGTGTTTTGAGAAAAGAAGTGACACTGTTCTCCTAGAACCAAGCCTTATCCATTAAGCAACCCATGCTGCACGGCGTCCAGAGACTACGGGAGACGCACGTTCCCGCTCAGCAAGGCAACTCACTGGCTGAGGAGCTGGTGCAAGGCATTATGCAGAGGCTCTTTCAGTTCCTGTGACACTTTTTCTCCAAGATGAGCCAAGCAGTCCTCTACTGAGCTTTCTGGGTTAGCAGGGCTAAACACTGGAGAAGTGTGACGGTCAAATCCTGTGCTGGGGAAGGCTGAAGACAGAGCAAAAGAAAGCCTAATTTGGTAAATAATATCAAAGCTGTGCTAAAAATTTCAAGAAATTAAAACAACTATTCCTGGGAAGAAGCCAGTAGTTTCAAGCCACTGGAAAAGGTCACATAATCATGGGATATGAATCTGTCCTGGACACAAACACTGATAGGTCCTAAACTAAAAAATGTTTATCCCACCTTGAGATGAGTCAAATACTATCATTCCCTTTTTAAAGTGAACTTTCAACTTACTATTCCTGCACATGTATAAACTTTCAAACTGTGAAAGTTATGCAAGTATAAACTTTTCATATATGAGAAGCAGTCTATATCCCTCCTTAGTTCAAAAATCAGCATCTCATCTGCTTCCTTATTCCACGTTACATGGATTTAGTCCAGCTCTAAAGTGCAGGAAAAACAGGCAGAATCATTGTTTGCTCTAGGACAGCAGCAGGGTGCAGGCACAAAAGGCCAGTAAAGCAAGTGGTTTATCCCCACGCCCGAGTTGCCAATATCCTCCCCAAAATATCTATTAAGCATTAAGGCTAGCTCTCAGAAGGCTGCAGATTTGGCTATTAAGTATAACTTTCTTATGTCAAGTGTTTGCCTCTAAAAAAGATGCAAATGGCTGTAAAATTTACATTCTGTTGTTTGAGCAAGCTTGAGAATATCCATTTTAACCACATATTTTGGAGGCAACATGGAGTATAGTTAAGCTTTTTCTTGTTCTTTTTTCCTTTTTCCATTTGTACCACATATAAGTACTGTTATCAGAATATGGGTGAAGGCTTAAAATAGAACTGGAACATTAATCAATTAAATATGCTAGTGAAGGAAAACAAAAGACTGAAAGTAGTTTTCTAGATTATTTTCAGATTTCCATTCAGACTGCCCCTCTACTAACAGACAGATTTAAAAACAGATTTATAACTTTCTTTGTTAAAAATGATTGGGCATTATGCATCTACACAAAATATGGACAAGAATATGAACAGTAGCGTTATACATAACAGTTAAAATGTATAAATAGATAAACCGTGATACATCCACACACTGGAGTGTATTATTTATCCATGAAATGGAACGAATGAACAGATGTCTGCTATCACATGGAGGATCCCTGAAAATACCAAGCTGAGTGAAAGGAGTCAGTCACAAAAGGCCACATAGCCTGCAATGTAGAGATTCAGAAAGTAGATCAGTGGTTGCCTTGGGGAGGGGAAGTGGCAGTGATCGGAGTGAAAATGAGAAGTGACTGCTCATGTGTAAAGTGTATTTTTGGGAGATGTTTAAAAAAGTTCTAAATTTAGATTGTGGTAATGATTCTATGATTCTGTGATTAAACTAAAAACTATGCACTTTAAATGGGCAGACTTTAAGACATGCGAAATATATCTAAATAAATCTGTAAAAAACCTAATGGTCAAGTTGTTGAATGCAATGCTACTTTATGGAAAGTAAAACAATAACCTAAATGTTCTCAACAATAAGGGAATGTTTGAGTAAAATAGTCACCCAATGAACAGGATTTTTATGCAGATAGCACAATGATAATTATTTTAAAGTTTATGAGGTACAATATTAGATGAAAAATATGTGGCTATATAAAATTATATGTATAACATACATCGTGTGAACCTATATCCCTAGATCATAGTCAAGATTATAAACGTTACCAATTTTCAAAAAAAAGGATACAAGAGAATAAATTACATGTATGTTAATACATCACAACTATCTCTAGCATATATGCATGCAAAAATGAAAGCAGAATACTTTGCTCCCTTTAATGTTGTTATTAATTATGAAGATACTAAATATAAAGCAGTAGAAAGTATCTTCACATGATCATTTATTCTATAACTTAATGCTATATTCAACTGTTGGATGTAGTTGGGAAATTTTTACAAATACATATCCCAGGAAAAAGGATACCTTACCCGACAGTAAATCACACCAAACATAATCTCACTAATTAGCTAAGAAAATAAGAATAAACAGACCTTCAGAAATTTCTTTGTCCAAGGATTTTAGTTCTTCTTCTATTTCAGTTTTAACTTTTAGTAAAACTTCTTGATCCAGAGATTGTGAAGCTACATCTGGTTGAACCCCTGAAACCAACAAATGAGTTTACTATTAAAAGAGGAGAGAGAAGCTACTAGACTATGGTAGTATTTTAACTGCTAGGTAAGGAAATAGAATATCAAAAAATTACTAAGGCTAGAGAGATAGAAGATAAGTTTCTGCAATATATATATATATATATTTTATTCTTAGAAGCATGTGGGTCTACCTAATTGAGAGAAAAGAGTATGGTAAAAACAGAATACATCTTTCTTCGGAATTGTTTGTTATAGGGGCAGAAGAAAGAACAGAATCTTTAGAAACACAAAAACTCAAAAGGAGGTTGGAGAAAGACTGGTATTAATATTCATGAGAGCAATCTTTCTGTATTCTTAAAAATCATTTATGAAAACTGAATCCAATAAAGCCAAATAGAAGGATTTCATGTCATTGTCATTTTAGTGATGGTGAAAGGTCACTTCACCCATCACTGCTACCACCTCTCCCCAACTAACCCTCATTTAAATTATGCAAATGCCAATCTGCATCTCATTTGAGGGCACATTTTTTTCCTTCGCCTTCCACCAAACAAGCTGTACCCACACCCCACCTGCCTCCCCTACTCCATCCCTCCTCCACTATTCTCTCTGGTAACCATTACATTCTTTTTACTGAGTTCAAGATTTATTCCTACTCTTCTTTGTATATGAATGGTTTTGGGTATTTCCATCAGTAAGTGAAACCATCTCCTATTTTTCACTTTTTGGTTTAGTTCATTCAACACAATCATTACCTAGAGGTCCATCTATTTAATCCCAAATGCCACCATGTCATCTTTCTTCACAGCTGCACATAATCCATTGAGTAATTTCTCTATTCATTCATCTCTATCTAATGTGACCTGCTGAAAGGCACATTTTTAATTTTTTTCAAATATGTATTTATTTATGCATACAGAACTAGGGAACAGGGAAGAGGTGCAGGGTTGAGAGGATTCACCAGACAGAGTGGGGGGCAGAACAGGCAAATTGACAAAGTACACTGCTGAGGAGAGTAATAGGCAAGGCAGGAGAGGTCTGACACGCCATGTGGGTCAACTCCCTGGCCGGGGACCGAACTCATGCTGCAGAGGCTGTGTACAGCTTCATGGTGCTTTCTTTGCTTTAACCTGTTGCACCAGCAGGGAGGGCCCTGAGGGACACATTTTTAAATGAAATAGTTTTAGTATTTTATGCATGTTTTGTAAGTTTAGTTTTTCCATATCTGAACAGCTAATATTTGCTTAATTCCACAAAGCACACAACTGAAGCTAGTGTTCACTACTTGGGCATAAAGATGTACCTCAGTCATATGAACATATGAGAGTTTTGCTCCTCATCAGTCTCATCTTTACTACCGAAACTTCCATTTTTCCACTATTTTAAGAAAAAAAAAAAAGAACAGCAGTATGTAAGATAAATGTGCAGGCACTAATATACGAGAGGAAGGTGCTGCTGAAGCCTGAGGGAAATTATCCTCATGGCTTCATGTGACAGTTCAAATTAAAAAATAAGTCAGTTTTGTGGTGTAGATGCCTAACAGTCAATCCTCAGTGCCAGGCGTACTTTGTGTCAGGTCTGTATTCATTAATGATCTGTGAGATGGATTCTATTATTCCTACTTTGCAGATCAAAAAATTGAGGCACAGGGAATGATCTGGCTGAGGACACCTAGACAGTAAGTGCCGGAGCTCAGAAACAAACCCCAGCTTTGTGTTTCAGGGAGGGGCTGCCGCTCCACCACTACAGTGCGCTGCCTCTCCTGCTTGCAAGTGCTGGCTATGGAAAAGCAAACACCCAACGTCAAGGGCTGCTCTAAAACCACAGTCTCCCAATCATAGGCATTCTTAGGACATTTTTTGGGTTATGGTCCCTTAGGGAATTTGAATAAGATAATGGCCCTTCGTCCCGAAGGCTCACCAAGAAGGCAATCATGGATTCGCTCAAGGACCTTCATGAGCCTTTGGTCTTAAAACCTTATTATCACCTAATTCTCCTTTTCCTTTCTGGCCTTCACATAAAATCACACTCAGTCCTCTTTCACTTAGCTCCTGTACTGTGCTTTTGTCACCGGGGATCTGACAATATGCAGAGGCAGCGGGGGAGCAGAACAGGAGGGCTTACTGAAATCCACTGCTGAGGGGAATAGCAGGCTCAAGAGGAGAGGACTGCTGCGCCGCGTGGGCCAGCTCCCTGGCTGGGGATTGAACACAGGCCCTAGCAGTGACAGTGCTGAGATTTAACCCCTAGGCCATCAGGGAATCCTAACACTCAGAAGTTGTTAAATTGGATACTTAGTAACCAAACTTTAGATTAGGAAGAATAAATTTTCAATCCACCTAAGTATTGAGCTAAATAAATGGTTATAAGTGACAGTAAAGTCCCTACCTACGTGTAGGGGAAGCGTCCTGTAATCAGCTATCTTCCTTTTTGCAAGTATCCCAATAAAAGGGAAAAGAATATAGTTTAGACCATCACTCTACAGATCTATTTATTCACTCAATCACTGAAGAAAACATTTATTGTGTACCTGCTATTTTTGGTTATGGTGCTAAGCATCTAACTAGTACAAAAAGGAATAAAATTTGTCCAATCCCTCAAGCTATTCCTATCTGTGGAAGTCTAAAAGGGGCAGGAAGAAAGCAAGCATTTCCAAGGTTCCTGTCTTTTAACAGGCACTGTGCTAAACAATTCGTTCATATATGTTGTTTTATTTAACGCTCATGCCAACGTTGTCAGGGATGAAATGACATTTCACTCAAAGGTGAGTGTCATGCAGGTCAGCCTGTATACAAACCATGAATCCTGACTGTACCCATCTCATCTTGACTGATGGTCAGAAAAGAAATATCTCGGAATTATTTTTGACATATTTAAGTAAAGGAAACTGAAAGGTGGGTAGATCAGTGGCATTTTCAGACCCTGACATTCACATCTTTTCTTCAGTTTTCTATGCAGTCTGCAGCCCAAGAGAAGAGTTACTGTGATTTAAAAAAGATACCCTTCGACTTAGGAAAACTATGAATATACTAAAGACACTGGGCACAGGCTGTTCTCATGCAGTAAAAGGAAAAGGAGAATGTTGGTCTCTAGCACAGAAAGGAGAACCTGAAAGAGAACATCAGGGTAGCTGCTTGGCGACCCACCAGTCTCCCCACGTGCACTATGGAGCAGAGCCTGCTTGCCCAGGCACGGAGTCCAAGTATGGCTCCTCCCCACGCAGCACGCACGCGCAGATCTGTACAGACGCACCTGTACAACTTTCCAGTTGTTCACGTCACTGCTTTCTGCCACTGACAAATTTTAAAAACAAATGGATCGGCTGTTTGTGTTCTCACTTTTTGCAAGCAAAATATTTTGAATTCAAAGATGAACTTATGATCTTTAAAATACCTTTGAAAAGTAAAAGCTTAGATGTTTCTTTGTATCACTGACCAGTTCACAGTATTTAAAGTTGTCAAAAAGAATGTTCCTTTAGGCCTCATGAAACACTTCCCTTCTGAGCTGAGACTACCCAAGATAAAATTCACACCCTTAAAATATTTTTTGTGGGAAAAATATAATCCTATTTCTAGGTGAAGTTTAACACAAAGGATATCGTCAATGTTATTATTAACCTTTATTTTGCTTAGTGATACTTCACTTACCACTTCTGTCTACATAAATGTCTTACATGAAACTACACGCCTAAAAACTTTATAAACCATTACATTAAATAGATTCTACTATGCAAAATGTGAAGATAATGTATCCTAGGAGAAGGTTCATCCTTATATATTCTCATATAGCATAAAAGTCTAACTTTACAGAAAAATCTAACTCTTCTTCCTCAATTTGTGAACTGTGGTTAAGAACATAAAATTTACCATTTTTAAGTGTGGAATTTAGTAGTATAAAAATACATTCATAAGATTGAGCAACCATCCCACCATCCATCTCTAGAACTCTCTTCGTTGTGTGAAACTGAAACTCTACAGCTGTGAAATAGTAACTCCTATCCCCTCCTTCTCCTGGATCCTGGTAAACAACAGTCTAACTTCAGTCTATGATTCTGATCCCTCTACGTATTTTAAGTGAACTTACATAGTGTTTTTCTTTTGCGGTTTGGGTTATTTCACTTAGAGATAGATGTTGATTAAATCTCTGGTATATTATTATAATTAACATACTTATAATAGGTTTTCGTTTTAGTTATAACGTAGTTTTAAATGGCTCTACAATAGCACTGATCACTATGCTAAGTAATGAAGTATTCTCCACAATACACAGTGACATTTTTGTAAAAAAAGCAAACACAGTTGAGAAATTTATTTAAGGTCAATCTAACTACTTTCAGTTAAGTTTTTCTTCTGGTTTCTGCAAGGAAACTCATTCACCTTTAGTAGAAGATAAGCGTCAGACTCAAGCTTCCAGCTTATCACTACAAATGACCAAGGATAAAGGGAAATAATCTTGAGTCTCTTCTCTTATGTAAGATAGGAAGGTAACAGCTATTACAAAGGATTATTGTCAAGAATAATGAGATCAATAAGCCCACCCATCAAAAATGCTCAAGAGATTAGCGGCCATTCACCAATCCTTTGATTCTCTAAATAGTTACCATTTCACATTGATCTTCCCCACACCTGTCTCTGAGCAAAACCAGCTCTAGTCAATGATGCACAGAGAACTGCTTTCTGTATAGGTCAGCAGGACAAACTCTGAGAGTTTAGATATGCCAAGGAATAGGGGTGTTTAACACAAGTTAGGAGGAATCTTGACAGATATTTAGTCTTGCTCTTTAATTGCTCTGAGAAAACAGCTGAGCATCAACTGATCTAAAACTAACATTCTCCTTTTCTTGACATGTCCAACAAGTTTACTTAACAAATTAAAGTTTGTTTGTTAAAGATTTATTTATGTATGCATACAGAACTAGGGTACAGGCCAGAGGTGCAGGGGCAGTGAGAGGATTCACCAGTGACAGAGTGGGGAGCAGAATAGGCAGATTGACAAAGTACACAGCTGAG